TAGTCTCCTCTACTAACTGGTAGTTGAATATAGTGTAAATAAAAGAAAAACAACAAAAAAAGGGGAAATTCCCGATTAGTACCTTGTACTTTGGGCCTAGTGCCACTTTGGTCCCCGAACTTTAAAATGTGACAATTCAGTACTCGAACTTTCAAAACATGGCAATCTAGTACTTATCATTAACCAACTATTAACCAGTGATATAGTGGCATTTGAAAAAGACACAAATGCCCTTCGAATGTCATCTAATTTTCTTTATCAACCATCCAAACATTGACAAAAATTTAGTAGTCTTAAATCCTTGCCTCTTTTATTCAAGAAAGTTGGGTTCCAGAATGCCCACTAAGACAACCACAATTTTATGAATAGAAGAAGCAAGGATTTGAGATTGTTAATTTTTTGTCAACATTCGAATGGTTGATAAAGAAAATTAAATGACACTCAAAGGGCATTTGTGTCTTTTTCAAATGCCACTTAACGGCTGTTTAACGATAGATACCGGATTGACATGTTTTGAAAGTTCAAATACTAAATTGTTGCATTTTAAAGTTCGGGGACCGAAGTGACACTAGGCCCAAAGTATAAGGTATTAATCGGGAATTCCCCGCCTTTTAAAATAAAAGCCAAAATGATTAAAATGCCAAATAAAAAAAAAATGTTGTTTGAGGGTGAAAAAGCTCATCAATACTTATTGTAATTGTGAAAAAGAATATTACTTGGAAACTGACATTACACATAAAGTACTTGTTGATAACCATATTTGGCCTAGTCAGTAGTCAATGTTTGATGAGGTCGGACCCACACAGTCGTTGTTGTACATGAGACATGCGCCTAGTGGTTGAGATGCTCATATGGCATGCACATTTCCCTTTGTGGAGACATTGATTTTTTGAGTTCAAATTCACTACTAAGTTCAAGAATTGATAACCAATGTTGTCCACTCACACTCACACTCAACCAAACATAAAAGAAAGAAAAAAAAGAAAGAAAGAAAATGCACACTAGGTCTGGCCGGTTAGACCATTCTAACTTGCAAAAACCAATGTTTGAAACAAACGTTGAACAATTTGTTTTTGGGGCTAAGTTTGGAAGAAGTACAAATGAAAATATATATAGTATAAATGCAAACAAAATAACAAATTCAAGGTGCAAAAGTATACCGATAACATTTTACGTGAAAGTGACCGTTGCTTTTTGAAAAATGCGATGGGTGAATAATGTAATTTTATATCGATAAAATTGATATAGTATTTACATTGATAATTGATGTAAACTTCACGTTTGATAGGTTTTACATCGACTATCGACGTAAAACTCCACTTCATCCAAGCATACGCAAAATTGAACCGAAGTGGAGTTTTACATCGATCATGATTACACTCTCTTTTCAAACACTGACAAAATTGAACCGGTGTAAAGTTTTACACCATTCTTGATTTACACCGATTCCGAACACAGCCTTAGAGATTAATAGGTCAACGGTTCAACCATCGAAGTTGATGGATCAACCTATGGCATTGTCTTAAAAAAGAAAAAACAGTAACTAGTTGAATGCGTCAAATTGATCAACGGTTGAATAAAAATTGTTCAAAGTATTGATACATTCTATTCTCAATAATGTTTCATCGGATCAATACTTTTCTCAAAAATATTTCAATTCTAAATTGAACTTTTTCAAATACGTGACTACCTATCAAAGCAACATACCCACTTCAAAAGACACGGGACCCATACTAATAATGTGTTTTGATTCAATTTCCTAATTCAAATAAAAGTTTCATATAAAACTTTCAATGGTGTGTCCTATTCTTTTAAATGAAATAGATATTCACATACACATTAAATATAATTTATTTACTTTTTCTATTTAAGTCTAACTAAGAAATTAAAATTAAATATCATATAAATAGTAAATCTCAAACACGTACAAAATGATAAATGGGTGTGGTTGCCATGTACTTAATATAAGGGGCCATTCATTAGTATTTGTATTAAAAGGGTAAATTGTAGATTGGTACCTATACTTAGAAGGTGGTCTCACTTTAGAGTTTGAACCTTTAAATGTAGCACTTTAGTATTTCAATTTACATAAATATGCATTTAAGCACAATTACATTAAACAAATGTTACTGAGGGGTAAAATTACAAAAGTGCTCATATTATGACTCTCTTTTTCCACAAGTCATCTTTCTTCTAACTTTGGCACTTCAGACAAACAAACAATGACAAAGTAAGCATCTAAAAATGTAAGACTACCCCCTTTGAACAGATTAGGATGAAGTTATTTTGCCGTTGCTGGTTTGCATCTGAAGTGCAAAGGTGGGGGAAAGATGAACAGTAAAAATGAGAGTTAGGACATAGGCGTTTTTATAATTTTACCCATGACTGTAATGTTAGTTTAATGGAGTTGGAATTATATGTATATTTCTGAAAATTCGAGTAATAAAGTGACACGTTTGAAAGTTCAATCTCTAAAGTGAGATTACCCCCAAAGTACAGGGTACCTTTATGTACTTTATTCATATTAAAACAAAACCTTTACACTAGACAACTTTTCCTTCACACAAGTGGCATTTTATTTTCTCAAGAAACAACATCTTAGAAACGGATTGCTCCTACTCTAAAAAGATGTGGGACCTATACTACTGTATTTGATTCAATTTTCTAGTTCAAATAAAAGATTCATTACAAAGATTTTCATCATTCTTTTAGATGAAATGAATTATCAATTACGAATTAAAAGCTCATTTACTTTTTTAGATAAGAACTCAAATTAAATGTACCATATAAATAATAAATCTCAAACACAAAATGATATATAAGTGTAATTGCTCTATATTTAGTACAAGGTCCCATTCTATGAATTAAAGGAAAGTCCTAAGATTAGAGAGTTTATCTTTCACACACRTGGCATTCTATTTTTTTAAGAAACATTATTAAGAAATGGGTATTCTCTATTCTCAAATAGAAGCTTTCTTCTTCAAACAACTGTCTATCCACCTTGAAAATAAGTGAAATTTGTTAACTTCACTCTTAGAAAAAAGGTTCTAATTTTAGATACATGGCTACTTACATAAAAAAAAATCCACTCTAAACTAACCTTGGACATATGGCTACCCATAAAAAGTGCCCACTCTAAAAAGTGCAAAACCCATATTAATCTTTGTAACCTAATTTCCTAATTGAAACAAAAGACCTTTAAATTATAAATTAAACCTGATTTAATTATTTTAATTTAATAATAAATTCAAATTAGATATAATTACCAAATAAATAGTGAATTTCAAACAAAATAATATTATTACAAAAAAAATAAAAACATAAACAAGCAAAATGATATATATATATATATATATATATATATATATATATATATATATATATGTGTGTGTGTGTGTAGTTGCCCCATACTTGATAATTTGAACCTTGAGTTCAACAATCTAGGTTAATGAATCATTGGTTAAGACAAGTTGATGGGCTTTTGTAGGCGGCATTTAGCAAGTCTTTCCATGTGGTCTTTTGAGATTTGACAGGCTTGGAAGACTAAAAATTGATCCTTTTCTGTTTGATAACCAAAAGCTAGTAAGACCAAAAGACGTGTGCACAAAAAGATGCGAAAGACCAAAAACATTGAATTTTTGAAAGTTTTAAATGGAAGCTTTCTGGCCTTTCCAGGTGATAAATAGCCTCTAAACATGTTTTTAAAAGCTTGGTAGACCGAGCCACTTTCCAAACAGTATTAGCCTTTGAAATCAAGACTCCAAAAAGTTCAATACATCTTTTAGCCATATTGACTATTAAAAGAACTTTTTAAAAAGACTTGCCAAACAACACTGTAATATAGAGGGTGTTTGGTTCTATGGGTGTTTATTCAATAAACACCACCACATAGGCGCCACTTCAGCAGTTCCCCTCTCTTGCTCTTATGTACGCATTGAAAATGGCAAAAGTGGACTTCGGTTTTTGTACACGCTTATCGTTTGGGGAAATTATCTTTTAAAGCTTTCACAAACGGTTAGGCGTTCTTTTTTCACTATTACGCTAATGTGGTCCCTAATGGCGCCTAGTTGTCATAAATAGTTGTAATTATTACCTTTCTTGGTTTTGCAAGCAAATAAAGTACAAACGTTGAATGAAAAACATAAACAAAACCAAACACATACATAATGAATTCGAGGTTGACCTAAAGGTCATCGGTCTGGCCAGCCTAGCCCACTAACCAAGAGTTGGAAAGCTAGGTAGGCCATCAGGTTACTGGTTCAGCCATTTGGTCCAATCGAAGTCTAACGAAGCTATTATTGTGACAATGGGTTGAGTGCCCGTTCAGGTCCCATTTGGGAGGATTGGAGCTTTAAACTGAACTACTTTCATTAAGCCAGAGAAGCCACTAAACAAACTTCATGGGAAAGCCAGTTTTTAGGATGAATCGCATCGTATTTAAGCTAGCTTTTGGGTGTTTCACCAGGGCCCACTTTTGTAAAGCCACAAAAGCTGCTTTGTGAAAACCCTCCCAAATGGACTCTCAATTAAAAGCTTAAGCCCTCCCAAACAGACCCTAAACCTTGCAAGAAGCCAAGAAGAAGGGCTTCATGGAATCATGCTACAGCTGAAGTGGCTGAAAGCCATTCAATTCAGCCACTTCAGCTGTTATGAAATGGCCCCGGAGTGTTGGGCGCTGCACCCTTCATCTGCTTCCAGGTTGCTCTCCGTCTCGTTTTTTCAAACCTAAAAATTGGGTCTCTCTGAACTAAACAAAGCCTAAAATTAGAATATGGTTATCAAAATAGAGCTAAGATTAGTAGCTGATAATTATAGAACCACTCATCGATCAAAGGTGGAGGCCATAAGGACATTATTGTCATTGTAACAAATTCAGTTATTCCAAAAATTGGGGAAATTATTATATATTAAAAGCGCCAGTTTCATAAAAGGAAAGGGTAAATTAGTAACTTCACAATTTTATATTTGAGAATGTGAATTCCCCGGATAGGTCGAGCATTCGATGCCCTTGATGCCTCCGTCCATATAAAACCCTAATTGTCCGGAGAGGAGACAGGCTGAGCCAGCGATTTGGTCTTCTCTCGCTCTGGTTTTTTTTTGGTAGATCTCTCTCTCTCTCCCCCTGTTTGATCTCCTCTGCTCTTCAATCTCGAAACCGAAACCGAAACCGAAACCATGGCGGATCAGCTCACAGACTATCAGATCTCTGCTTTTCAAGTTTCTGCTTTCAATAACCACTTCAGCCCGCTGATTGAGAAGTGAGGATTTGAGAAGATTAGTAGAAGAAAACCCTAATCGCCGTCCGCCGTTGTGAAGGACTGACCCTTCAGGCTTGATCCTTTCTTGTGGGCGGCAAGTGTCTTAAAATTTGGAATCAGGTACCATTGCTTCTTATTTCTTCTTTCCTCCATGACCTAAAATTAACTAAGAGAATTAGGAGTCAGAATGGGTTATAAAGGTTTCTATTCTTATTCAGACAGGAGGGGATAGAGGCCTTCACCGTCGGGACATGGCAATGGTGTTCTGTTTCTAGTCTTGCTTTCTTTGTTTAATGTTAAGCTTGACTGGCTTGGTTATCATTTACTAAATGAGTTGCTTTCCTTATGTAATGTTTTGTTGGTGGTAGGGATATTGGTATTTATTTCTTTTCATTACTATTACCAAATTACTATCTAGTATCTATTACCTGAACCAAAGTGGAAAACCCTAATTGATCTCTTTTTGTTGCGAATCTTTAGACATGTTTTTCGTCCATACTCTATATGTGTTTATCCATGTGGTGTACCTATAATTGTTAAATAATTGCTCCGTAGTTTAGATGGATTTGTAAATTGTAATGGTTTTTGTAAGGCTAACTTTGTCAAGGTGGATGGTATCTGATTTTGCATATATTATATGAAATGCAGATTGCAGATATTGATCTTTTATTTGGTTGTGGAATAGAGGGTTTGGAGGAGAGTTGGTGCCTTTAAAGAGGAGAGAGGTAACAAATTCACGTGGATGATTCTGTGATCTTATCCCTTGCTGCTTGGGAAGGAAAAATAAAATGTTGGGCGCATTGCCAATCTTGCCTCTGCCGGCACCTCCTTTAGATGGAAATCTTGGTCCCCTCCCACCTTCACAAGTCTCAGATAAGACACAGAATGAGGCACCGACTGCTGATGAACAGAACAAGGCAAACTCAGCTCCTGTTTCTGTTGCCACTCACACGAGAACTATAGGGATTATCCATCCTCCTCCTGATATTAGGACTATTGTTGACAAAACTGCACAGTTTGTTGCTAAAAATGGGCCTGAATTTGAGAAAAGGATTATAGCAAATAATGCAGGTAATGCAAAGTTCAACTTCTTGAACAGCTCTGATCCTTACCATGCATATTACCAGCATCGTCTCTCAGAGTTCAGAACCCAGATTCAAGCTTCTTCCCAACAGCAACCACCTTCACAGCCTGCAGATTCAGCTGCTCCTGAAGCTGCTCCGGTTGCTCCACCTTCTGAAGGCAGTGAACCAGCTGCTAAGCCTGATCTATTGGCCCAATTTAAACCTGTACGTAAAGTGCTTGAGCCACCTGAGGCTGAGCAGTATACTGTTAGGCTTCCAGAAGGGATTACAGGTGAGGAGCTGGATATTATAAAGCTTACTGCCCAGTTTGTAGCTCGAAATGGGAAATCATTCTTGACTGGGTTAACTAGTAGAGAGATTAACAACCCCCAGTTTCATTTCCTGAAGCCAACTCATAGTATGTTCATGTTCTTTACTGCACTTGCGGATGCCTATTCAAAAGTTTTGATGCCTCCAAAGGGATTGACAGAGAAGCTGAGGAATAGTGTTACCAATATGACTACTGTTCTTGAACGTTGCTTGCATCGGCTAGAGTGGGAACGGTCACAAGAACAGGCAAGGCAGAAAGCTGAAGATGAGATTGAGCAGGAGCGAATACAGATGGCAATGATTGATTGGCATGACTTTGTTGTTGTGGAGACTATAGAATTTGCAGATGATGAGGATGAGGAGTTACCCCCTCCTATGACCTTGGAGGAAGTTATAAGGAGGAGCAAGATGTCAGCCATGGAAGAGGAAGTAGAGGTTGCTGAGCCTGTTAAGGATGAAGAAATGGAAATGGATGAAGTAGAAATGCATCTTGTTGAAGAAGGAATGAAAGCTGCTAGTATTGAAGAGAATGAAGATGAGAAGAAAAATGATGCTAAAGCAGCTCCTGAGGAACCAGAACCACCCATGAGGATTGTGAAGAACTGGAAGAGACCTGAGGAGAGGATTCCTGCAGAAAGAGACCCAACAAAGTTTGTCATCTCTCCAATCACAGGGGAACTGGTTCCCATTAATGAGATGGCAGAACATATGCGAATTTCCCTTATTGATCCCAAGTACAAGGAGCAAAAAGAGAGGATGATGGCCAAGATTCGAGAGACAACCCTTGCTCAGGATGATGAGATATCAAGAAATATTGTAGGTCTTGCACGAACACGTCCTGATATCTTTGGGACTACAGAAGAAGAAGTTTCTAATGCTGTTAAGGCAGAGATAGAAAAGAAGAAAGAGGAACAACCAAAGCAGGTCATATGGGATGGCCATACTGGAAGCATCGGGCGTACTGCAAACCAGGCTATGTCTCAGAATCTTTCAGGAGATGATCAAAGTGATACAATTAATAACGAGTCAAGGCCCCTTCCTGGTCCTGCTGCCCCACCTCCTAAGCCTGGTCTACCATCAGTTCGTCCTCTTCCTCCTCCACCTGGACTATTACTAAATATTCCTCGTCCACCAAATGCTGTCCAATATTCTGCGCCAACTAGTAGTGGGATACTTGCCCCTCCACTAAGGCCTCATGTGATCCCAATGATTCCATCAGTTAGGCCGCCTCCTATGCACATGACATCTGGAGGACAACCAATTATGGTGAGACCACCCCCTCCTCCCCCATCAGTTTCTTTGAACCCTCCCAGTATTCCTGTACCACCTCCGCCTGGGTCGCAGTTCACTCCTTTGGCTGTTCCTCGGCCTTATGTCCCTCTTCCTATTCCACCACCTGCTATGCCTATTATCCCACCACCCCCCTTGCCGCAAGGAATGCCTCCACCGCCACCACCTGAGGAAGCTCCTCCACCACTTCCTGATGAACCGGAGCCAAAAAGGCAGAAGGTTGATGATTCTCTGCTTATTCCCGAGGACCAGTTCTTGGCTCAACATCCGGTATTTGATCTTTTTCTATTTTTTTAATTAACATTGTTTAATGAGGATGATTGTTTGTTTGTTCTTCACAGTTTATTTTTAAAATATCCTTGTATCTGTTTGTCTGATTGGAGTCTTACCTTTCCTGTAGGGACCTGTCCACATTACTGTATCTGTTCCTAATATTGATGAAGGGAATCTTAAAGGGCAGCTTTTGGAGATCACCATCCAGTCTTTATCTGAAACTGTCTCCAGTCTGAAGGAGAAGATTGCAGGAGAGGTTCAGTTACCTGCAAACAAACAGAAACTGAGTGGAAGAGCTGGGTTTCTTAAGGACAACTTGTCACTTGCATATTACAACATTGGAGCAGGAGAAACACTAGCACTCTCATTAAGGGAACGTGGTGGCAGAAAGAGATAAAATCATTTCCATTGGATAGGCATGAAAAGTTGAGCTTGCAACTTTGTTGTTACAACGAAAGTTCTCCATTAGAATATTGGTGGATTATGACTTTATGATTTTGATGTTCTATCGAAAATTAAGTTTACCTTTATTTCTAGGATATCTCCTTTGTCACTATTTTATGTTCTAGGCAGTGTTTTAAAAGGCCTAGGAGGCGTATGCTTGTGTGTTGACGCGCAGGCCAGAGGAGAGGCATCGACACATTTGAGATGTACACCTATAAGTCGTGCTTGAGGTGTATGCCTCGTGTGCCTCACGCACATCTCATAAAAAGACAAAAAAAAAAGAAAAAGAAAAATAGAAAGAGAAGGGAAAGAAAAGAAAAGAATGAAAGTTTAGTTTTACGTGTCTATTTTCACATTTATTTTTGGAGTAAAGTTTATATTGAAAATCGATGTAAACCTTCCCATTGGTTTCCCCCCATTAATTCATGTGAATCATATATCAATTTTAACAATGTACATTTACATTGATTATTACACAAAAAAAGGTCTAACATTCCACTAAAATTTTAAATCCATCGATTGAGTTTTATATTGATGAATTATCCATTGAAACAAACACAGCCTAAGAACTCCTCTTATATTTTTGTTTCATTAAGGCCATGTTTGGGAGTGCTTAAAAATAAGTGCTTATTTAGGTCATTAAGCATTTATTGGTATTTGGGAAATAAGTCCAAAATAAGTTTTTATTTTAAAAATAAGGGCTTATTTTTTAAGCTCAAAATTTCAGCTTGTTTTAAGTGCTTATATTATTCAATTTTTTTCTTCCAAATTATCTCTACTTAAATTTTAAAATACCACTTGTAAAATTATTCCTAGTTGAATTTTATGAAACTACTTTCATGAAAGCACTTTTATGAAGGCACTTTTAAGAAAGTATTTTTACGACTTTTGCAAAAGTACTTTTATAAAGTGCTTTCATAAAAATATTTTTAATAAAAGTGTTTATAAAAATGCTTTTGTAAAAGTACTTTTATAAAAATAATTGTAAAAGTACTTCCATAAAAGTGCTTTTGTAAAAGTGTTTTCATAAAAGTATTTTTATAAAAATATTTTCATAAAAGTGCTTTTATAAAGTGTTTTTATAAAAATACTTTCATAAAATTGTTTTTATAAAAGTAATTTAATAAAAGTGCTTTCCATGCAGAGCTGAGCCAAGAAAGGAACAAACTGGGCTTTTCCTTTGATAAACCAAAAGTCAATCATCTTGAAAGCCTGCCTACTAGATAAGGAGCTTAAAAGAGAGGAAATTTTGTGGGCTCAAAAATCAAGACAAAATTGGCTGAAGCTAGGATATAAAAATATAAGGTTCTTTCATCAGGCAACCTTAAGAAGAAGAGCTAGAAACAAAATTATCTCCTTAAAGGATGAATGTGGAACTTGGATGACAAGATCAGGTAAGCAATTTGCTAGTAAACCATTATGAAGAACTTTTTAAATCCTCAATGCCAGAAGAAGATCGGGAGATTCTCAATTATGTTAAAAGGGTAGTAAACAGTGAGGACAACCTGGGACAGTAGAGGGACATAGTGGAAGAAGTAAAATAAGCACTATTTCAAATGTACCCCTACAAAGCCCCGGGACCAGATGGTTTCCCCAACTCCTTTTTTCAAAAATACTGGGATGTGGAGGGCCCAGATTTCACAAAAGCAGTTCTAGATTTCTTTCAGACAGGGATACTTCAAAAGGAAATTAACAAAACTTTTATAACCCTAATCCCCAACTGTAAAAGGCCTAAAGATGCAACCCTAGTCCAAATCAAAATGCTTTTGTTCCTGGGAGGCTGATATTTGATAATGTGTTGATCTCTCATGAATTAATTCATTTTATGAAAACCACAAAAAAAAAAGCAGAAATTCATGACAGTAAAGCTGGATAAGAACAAAGCTTATGATAGGGTGAAATGGGTTTTTGTTTCATAAATTGGGTGATACAAAGCATTTCTTCAACATCCTTTCAAGTCCTTGTAAATGAAAGCCTCAGTAAAACTTTCAATCCTTCTGGCTAAGACAGGGGGATCCCCTATCTTTTATTTGTTTTTAATTGTCTCTGAAGTCCTATCTCAGGCTCTGACTCATGCCCACTCTACTAGGCAACTCTTAAGAATTAAAATTAATCATAATAGTCCTGCTATTACCTTTTTCTTTTTCTTTTTTTTTTTTTGCAGATGACTCCTATATTTTCTCAAGAGCAAACATTTCAGAGGGAGGAATGATAATGGAGGTCAAGAAGAACAATGGGAAAGTTTCCATGCAGAAGGTGAATCTTTCTAAATCCGAACTTTTTTTTTTCTCTCCAGGATTGCATCCAAAACTGCAAAAAATAATTACAAGAGTTATGGGTATTAAAAAGGTTGCCAATCCATCAAAGCACTTAGAACTCCCTTTTTGGTAGATCAAATAAGAGTTTGTTCAATTATCTCGGGGAGAGAATGGAAAGTAAGATAAATGGATGGAAGGTCTCATTCCTCTCTTCTACAGGGAAAGAAGTGTTGATAAAGGCAGTCCTAACTGCAATCCCCTCCTATGTAATGTCCTGTTTCTTGGTACCAAAATCCATATGTAGTCAGTTAAAGAAAAACCAAAGAGCTTTCATGTGGGATTGTGGGGGGAAACAAAAAATCAGAAGAAAATTAGATGGGTTAGCTGGACAAAGATCTGCAAAAGTAAATCTCATGGTGGTCTTGGCTACAGAGATCCATACTTGTTTAATCTTGCTCTTCTAGCAAAATTAGCATCGAGGTTCTGCACAAAAAAAAAAAAGAAATTTATGGGTAAATTTGGTAAAAGGGAAGAATTTAAATGGGAAAAGTTTCTGGAATGTGTCTGCCCCTCGAAATTGTTCTAGGGGCTTCAAGAGTTTGCTAGCAGGAAGGGACCTCATTAGATAAGGGGCGTGCTAGTGTGTAGCAAAAGGTGAGGGTCTAGGGATTTGGGATGATCCGTGGATTCAGGAGGTTCCCCATTTCAAACCTATGGGTCCAAGACCAAGAAATGTCTAAATCAAGTGTGTCAGTGATCTTATTGACCCACAAAACAACTATGGGAAAGAAAGAATTGTTCACTCCATGTTTGACCAGGCCACTGCAAATTTAATTTGTAACAAGGACCTTCCAAGAGCTAGAGGGGAAGATAAGCTGATCTGGATGCAAGACTCAGAAGGAAATTTTTCTATGAAATTGGCTTACCACCTAGCAGTAAGCTTAAACAAAGATCAATGTGGAGTAAACAATCCAAATCCTATGACCCCAAACCTGTGGAAGAAGACCTGGGCCTCAAAAATTCCTCAAAAGATGAAACATTTCATTTGGAAATGTTGTCATAATAGCATAACAGTGAAGAAAGTGCTTAGAAAGAGAAACATGTGCTAGGATTCCCTCTGCCCAATTTGCGAGAGAGAAGAGGAAAGCATCCTCCTCTTTGCCTATGACCATGCTAGAGCAACATGGTTTGGAAGCCCCCTAGGCCTTACTGGTTTAAATCTGGCTTCTCTTAATCACTTTGATGATTGGTGGACTTGGTGGTTGCAACAAGAAAATCTATCATTGAGTTGTCTGCTGTAATTCTTTGGTCTATTTGGAATTCAAAAAACAGATTTGTTTTTGAAGAAGTAAATCCTAATCCTTATATATCTTTGTTTCTTGCAAACAGGACGACGAGGGAAGCGCGGAAAGCTTCCCGTCAAGAATTAATAGATTCTTTGCAGGATAAAGTAATTGAAGAAAGCATCAGTTCATCTCCTCAGCAGAATTCTAGCCTTTGTTTTGCTATAACTGATGGCAGTTTTAATAGTATTGGGTTGAGTGGTTTTGGTTTCTGGATAGCGAACAATGATGGTTCTTTTTTGATGGCTTCGTGTTTTTCTGAGAAAATTTCATCAACTTCTCTGGTGTTAAAAAATAGGTTGAATCTTGAAACATAGCAGAAGAATGGAGGCCACACGTGCTTGGCTTTTTAGTTTATACAAATTCATGAGAAGAGATTCCAAAAAGCTGAAATCTCGACTTATATGAAACGAAAAAGTATATGTATATGAAAACATGGAGTTTCTTTTACCAAATTTAATGAGATTATTCAGAGAATTATATAATTTTTATTTTTGTAGAAATATCGATCACATCGGAAACATTTGCTAGCATGGGAGGCTGAGGCTGAGGCTGAGGCTGAGGCGAGGAGCTGGAGCCAAAGACGACAAATGTACGTACGGTGGCGTCGGAGGAGGGAGTAAGAGAGATATGAACCCTCCTAGGACTAGTCCTAGTTTTGTGTGGTGTGTGTTTCGATTGCAAACAAAAACTTAGGCTGCGTTTCCAAACGATGCAAATGGAGTTTAGGATAAATTTGTACTCTGCTTCACTTTTGTTTGGTTTGTCTTTGGTAATATTACATTTATGTATTATTGATAAGTGACAGTCCAGTGTATATTTATATTGATAATAAGATGTAAAAGTACATTAATAAAAAAGAAGTAAATTTGTATTCAAGGGGATTTTTGATAAAATAAAAGTATATGTTTTATTGGAATTCGTGTTTGCATCCATTACAATTAAAAGCCTGTTTAGAAGGAAGATAAAGTTTTCAACCCAAAATTAACTCAACTTTACAATTTATATAGACCATTTTACACTCTACATATTTGCATTGTTTTCAAACGCAGCCTAATAAGCTTTGAGCCAGATCTGCAATGGCAGCCGTATACTTTGTTGCAAAACATGATGGAAGATAAGAGGAAGAGGAAGAGCAAGAGCAAATTGGGTTTGAGTTTGAATAATTGAATTAAACCTGAAAAAAAAAAAAGAGAGTTGTAACAGAGTCGGTGTTCCCAGGGTCAGCAAATTTCATGTAGAAGATAAGGCTCAATCCGGGGGCCAAAGAAAATCAATACGGGAACTCCTTCAGTGGGTGTTTCATGTGTCGTGGAACATAGAATAGTTTTTCGACTGAAGAAGATCATGACATAGTCTGTTGTGGAACACAGTATACTCAACCTTCTTGCCCACAAAAGGTTAATGTTAAGTTTCATTAATGAACGGGTAGAGCAAGTTAATTGTCAAGAAATTTAAGGGTACTTTAAGACTATGTAAACATTAGGGTAAAGT